TATCTCATTTATTTATACATTTATTGATTAACAACTCGAAGAAAACCCTTTTCGAGATGTTATTATTTTCGTTTGCAATAACATCGCGTCCGATATACAGTAAACCCTTGCAAAACACGAGACTATATTATTAGTACGTAATTGCAAAATCATGTTAAGTTAACTTTCTATGGAACAAATCTGTTAGGTATAACTCAGATTAAAAAAGTATGTATAATTTAACAAACCTAAGACTGTTGTATACATAATAAGGGGAAAAGTAAAAATCTGAATGGTTTCAGATTTTAACAGTTGTCCAGATCGTTTTGATAAGGTTTTTTACGCTTTCGCTGAGCTCACAGTCTATCAGTCTGCAGTTACACTCTTTCCCTACGAACCCCTTTTTTGTTGTCTTTTTAGCTTTATTCATAAGCATCATTTTCTTCGCACTTACGCCATATAGAATTCAACAGCAAAATCACAAGAATTTTAAAAGCAGCATAGCAGCATATGTTTAGAATTCCGATTCAGCATTAAATGTTGGCATATATATATCTGTAATAATAAAATTCCATGGTCAAGAATACACTTAAATTTCTAACTGCATGTTCTTTTCATTTTTTAATGGCGACGTTCTCTTATTTGAAAGTACGTGGAATTAAATCCACAGCCGCCGTAGTCAATTTTTTTCCCCTTTCCCGCCTTTTCTACACGTACAGTTATGAGGGTTCTGAAATATCTAAAACGAACGGATTGGCTGACGAGGCTGACTCATTTTCCCTTGAAAGCTCCGCGTTCCACAGGCTAATAAAGAACTCGCAAATGAATCTGGGGCTTTTCCTTAAATGTCACTATGCCGTAAACTTCATACAAAAGTTATTAGTAACTTTTTATTTACACTACTCCGGATATCATGTTGTAACTGCGATTTCCCTGAATAATAATAAATGGATCCTGTTTTTTAAACTTATCGTCTGATAAATATATATTTTTTTTTCAGTCTCTTCTCAGTTGATCACATCAATGTTCAGTTTCTGATGGCTTACAAAACTTTTTTCTTCTCTTCTTATTTTTAACGTTTTGTGTGTTTACCTTTTTATTAAATATCACGTTTTTATTTATTTATTTATTTATTAAATATCACGTATTTTACCATCTTTTGGGGAAAATATTCATATTCTTCGAGTGCGTCAAGACGACTTTTGGTATTCCGTCAGTGTCTGGAAAATTTTTCAACACATTTTTTGTTGACAAAATCTTTAAGTTTTTGCTCCGACGAACGATAATAAAGCCGAATATTAGTAAGAAGGTTTAGATCATAAAGCTATTTCGAATGCAATCAAAATTTTTTCATTATCCGTTTTTTTGCAAAGAAAAGGCAATAGGAAATTTAGGAGGAAAATGCATTTTTCCCACGTCTTGACAATTTACAATATAGTTACTAAAGAATAATAGAAAATTTTTTGGCACTTTGTAATTCCATAACACCTGGTTTCAACATCTGGAAGAATTACAATGCTTTGTCGGCGGTATTTTTGAATATACATACCGCTACAATAGCGAACAGTCAGCCATGCATACGCGTGGATATATATTAGATTTTATATTTAGTATTATTCTAACATAGGTATTTTGACACAAAATTGGACTCTTTCTGAAATAACATACCAATTTTTTTCCCCCTATTTCGGTTCTACTACTCAAATTAAGCCCAGATAAATTTCGCCACAAATTTCTCACCAAAATTTTGTAATGTTTGGTGAGAAATTTGTGGAGAAATTTAAAAATTTATCTTGGCACACTTTTTTTTTTATCAATTTGCGCCAAGAATAATTCACTTGGCTGAATTCTTAATTTATAGTAACCTACTTATTTCCCTTTTTTTTTTCCATGGATGCACGAGAGGGAAAAAGGTACATTGTTCGTTCTTTCAAATAATTTTAACAGAGTGCGTAAATCACATTTTCGTTATTGTCGCTTATATTAAATACACCAAATTTCAAGACGCGCCAAAATGTAAATTCACGTATATCTTAGGAAATTTTGAATAAAAACTTTAATTTTTTGCAGATATGCTTAGAAATACATCTGCTTTAAGATGATGTTAAAAGTTTTACGAAAAATTTATAAAAAATATTTTAAAATACAAATTTTAAAAATACGTCATAAAAATATGCGAATTATATTTCGATTAAGCCTAAGTTTCGAATTCTGGAAGAAGGAGTCAAGTTTAATAAAAAAAAGTGACATTAATTAATATATGTCAAATTGAATTAACATTGAGGAGCTAAAATTTTGAGAGCTAATTTTTCAAAAATTAATTTTTACAAACCTTGGCACTTTGGCATAATTTGAGTCGTAGAATCGAATATGGAAAAAAAATTGACATGTCATTTCAGAAAAGTCCGATTTTGTGTCAAAATACCTATATTACAACAACGTTATATATAAATCTAATATATATCCTTAGTCGCGGTTTCAAAACATGAAAAACGCAAGTTGAATTTCGTCAATCGGCCTATTAGAACGAGAGATTCAGAAACTGTCCCAATTCCCCCCCCCCATAGTGTACATCTAAGCGCTATATTTCCCCTTTTATCATAATGAACTGTAATACAACTTTGAAGTTTACAGAAGAACAAGAATAGAAAAGAGCTGGAATTCTTCAGAAATGTGGTATTTTACCCAACAAAAGAGGATACAAAATTTGCATTGTATGAAGTTGGTCTTTAAACAGGAACTCTTTCGTTTGTAAACGAAAGAATTTTGTGGATTTAAAATGTCTAAACATGCAAAGCAAAGTACTAGAATACGGATCGGAAGCTAGTTTTAGATACAGCCTGGGAGCTCCACGTTGGTAAAGACCCATATTTTGACAAATTTTTGCTTCTTCTCAGATTTCGTTTCAGTAAGGATCATACAATACTATGAAGCATCTTGGCCGTGATTTCTTTGACATGTTCAAGCCATCAAGCATTACTGATGAAAATCCAAATCAGATATAAGTTATTCGTTTACCTTGTATTATTCTAATTTATATTTATCATTTGCATATAATAATCATTTGAAATAACAGCTTATCAAAGTACTGAAGTCCAGAAGCGGTATATTGCTCTGATATCAGTGCAACTGGATGACATTGCAGATTGTTCAATAATGGTAAGGTCGTAGCATTATTTAATTATTTTTATTCCTCCCATTCTCCTATAGGTATATGAATAAAAGTTTCCTGCTTCCCAATAAATAGAGAAAACGAACATTTCATCGAGGAAAAATGACTTTTAAAAAATTAAAAAGCTCGTAGAAAATTATGCATGAAAGCACTCAATTATTATCATTTTAGTATCAAACAATGCGTATATTTATAATTTCATTTCCGTTTTTGTAAAATGAGTAATCAAAATATGTATGACTTTCCGAATGAAAATTATAGCTTTTATATTGAAATCTAAAAGTACACCAAGTTGTTTATTTTAGTTACTATATGTGAAGTGATCGATAAGGACAGGCATCTTGCAGGAAAATATGCCTTTTGAAGAAGCAGAAATACGTTTACTTTCATTATCCTTCAGTTCTTTATTTAAGCATCCAAACGTTTTTTCCACTAAAGAATACATAAAAGTCAAAGAGAGATGTTTTTATCTTGTGGATGACGTTTCAGAAATATGAATATTTAAATATTTTACTCCTTAAGAAGCACAACAGTTGCCATATCCATGGGAAAAGAACAATGTCGAACGTTTAACGAGAATATATGCTATTCAATATATTACCGCAAGAGTTGAGAAGGCGAGCAGAAGAATGCACAAAAAAGATGTCCGGGTAAAGCAGACAATATCAGACATAACACTTAAGATAATTCTTTTCATCCAAATATGTACACCCATCAGCCTTCTAAGCAACATATCCAGAGTATCTTAAAGGAAAAAAAAAAAAAAAAAAACTTTACCTCTTAACAGAAATACGCCCGTAAGCACTTATAATAAAACCAATACTGCAATAATTGGACCTTGGCTATTGAAATCAAAACACTCACTACAGCCGTACATTAATTACAACAGATTGCCTCAATTCTTTAGAATATACACATTTACTATTAGGTCTAGCTCCAAGCATAGGTACTATAATTAGCTGCCTAGAGCTCTAATTTTCTGAAGGCATGAACTAAATTATTTCCACAACAGACTATATCACTACGAACTATTAGTATTTTTAATTTATATTAAGGGAAAACTATACTCATCGTAAAGGGCGCAAAAAATATTGAAGACCGGCCTGTTTACAAATTACTCACACATTCCAACATTCATTTGTCCATTTCGAGGATGACACAGCTATCCGTAGCATCAAATGTGAACACAGTTCGCTGCCAACTGCGTAGCTGCCTTGCGACATTCTGAACTGGCTTAAAATTAGAAGAATATTTGTTACCACGTATTAATTAAATCAATAACATTTAGAAGAGGTCATTCACTTTACATTGCATCCATGTCGTCGCTTTTCGATGAATATAGTAGAAAACTGAAATTAAATATCTTGATGTAATACTTGACAGCAAACCCCTCTTGCTGTCAAGATGTAAAATTTATACCTAATTAGAACAAATATGCAACCACTGTTAGGTCAAAATAGCTCTGTTCTTTGCTTAAGAAAGTCTTATTCTTTATGCATGTTCATTCGTCTATAAAATCTATGCAATATTCATAATGATAATCTGATTCTTTATGCATGTTCATTTCTCTATACAAAACAAAATCTTACCAGAAATATCTAATGTAGAATTGTGCACTACAAAAAACACTCTCCACAGTGATTCGTAAAATAAAGGTATGAACTATAAAAACCCTTACAAAGAATTTTTGTAGTTAAGCCGACATAAAAACTATTTAATCAAATCAATCACGGGAACCACAAACAAAACATCCGTTCCTGCTATACACTGCTAATCTAACAAATTCAAAAGCTCTAGCAAGTAAAGGACCACTCATCTCATACCGCCCACTGCGAGACTTCATCGAAAACCTAATAAATTCAGATCACTCACTCCCAAGATAAGAGTGGAATTTCCACACCCCCTGCACGGTACCCCTGCAGTATCAAATTACTATTTGCTGCAGCCACCTCGAAGTCTTCTAGCAACAACAGATGGTAAAAAGTAACGAATCTTTCTTCTGCTTCTCAAAAGTCATCTAAAGTTCTGAAGGAAAACCGACAGTGTCTGAAAGAATGTCGAATGTTAACTGTAACTTGTAATTAACCTGCAAACCTCGTTGTAGCCTAAGCAACGCACGGCAGACCTTCATTTAACCTCCTGTAAATCGTAATTTCTGTGTGGATACTTATCAAAGGTAATTGGACATTTTCTTAAAGGAAAGAATTCCACCCTCCATGAAATCTATTTTGATAGTTTTACAGGGTTAAGTATACCATTTGTAAAAGAAATGTATTATTAAAGGGAGTTTTCTTTCACATCAGTTTTGGAATGCATTGCAGATTTTAAAAATAACTATTGTACATGATTGTATCCATGTGAGTTTTATGTATCATTTATATACTGCATTTTTACTTCCTATTCCTTTACATTCATTAGGTGCTAAGAAAATGTGTAGTATCATCGTGCACTTTTCCTCATTGACCTGCTTTCTGAAATCCGAAGTTATTAATGTTGTGCGAAATACTCCGCATACTTTCAGAATCACTTCAAAATAAGGCAAATATATTTGTTCATAATGCTGAATGAATTTTGGTAAATTAAATTTAAATTCATTTTGAAGTACTCTGTGATAACTGGCACCTTAGTATGGCAAACTGCCAAGTTCCTTCAATCTTTCAATGGCTCTAAAAATGCATTAGATAGCGTGATTAATGATGCAATAGTTACTATTGTACTCTTGCGCCAAGAATAATTTGAGCATTTCTAGGAAATTATAATTATTTAAAATTATCTGAAATTTTAACATCATAGCATTCATGGTGTGTTTATAAATCTAAAATGTGAAATAGCCTGAAAGCAATTTATTGCTAGCTGCAAAATGTAATGTAGAGCTTATTAAATTTCCTTTAGTGTCAAGCATAATATGTATGATAGATTGTACAAGCATAAACTTAGTCTTGAAAGTAAATCTCGAATCTTTAACTGGTGTATTCATGTTCATTTTAACTTATTTTAGTTTACTAATAGAATACTCTGTGTTCAATAAGTAAAGTACTTTTGATGTAACTCTACTTGTATTATTTATTTTCCTATAAACATAAAAATTTGTTTAAATAATTTTTAACCGAATTTTCCACAACTTATTTCTGTAATTAATATTTTTATTAATATAATGGTATTAATAAAACAATATATTGCATTTTTTTATTTCCCTGTTCTTTAAAAATCTTAAAGAGCTTCAATAAAGTAAGTATTGGAGTAATTGCATAGTGCAAATGAGTTAGCTTCATGAATTCGCTGATAATTTTGTGAGAATTTGGCATAGTTTTGAAGTAAAAATTTTTTCGTCGAATGAACATGACAAAATATGATGCAAAATAACCATATTATTTTTTAAATAAGACAAAAGTTTATTTTAATTTAAATTCAGTTTAAAAAAACTGTTTGAATTACTGCTGTAAACATGTTATTACTTAATAGGTTAGAGATGTTCTACTGTGTTTAATTCATATCTATTAATGATAAATCATGAATTTTGTAACCTAATTTTTTATTTATTATATTTATTAGGAATCACACATAATAAACAACAATGAATTCATATTAGTAAAACTTATCTGTAAGGATTATTGGCTAAGTCTGGAAATGCACCGAAAACTTTTGTTTACTTCTTTTGTATGTCAAAGATGCTTTCTGAACATTTCACATTTGGTTAAAAAAAAGATAATGGATAACGAACTTTAAATTTCAGATAGAAAATAAATAAAAATCTAAAAGGTTTCAGATTTTAAATTATGTCCAAAGGGGCATTTTTTTTAATGTTTCGTGTGTTACTTTTATTTATTAAATATCTTGTTCTACATACTCAAACCATAAAATTCAGTTTAACTGCAATATTGCAAAATAATTTTAAAATGAGCGATCTTTAGAATTTCCAATACACAGTCTCGTGCATAGATAAAAATGTATTTTTCCGTACAATGTTACCATTGCTCGCTTTGATATCGTTTAGTTTTTAACCAAAAATTCATTGAAGTGTTACAAAATAGGAAATCGATAATAAAACAAATTTCAAATTGGGGCTACCACATGCCCATATTCTATAGAAGATTACGGTATTAAAATTTTAATGGCTCTAGATACCGTTGTTTTATCACAATGCGAGAAACATACATTCATGCAGATTCTTCATTATTTAATTTCTTTAAATAACCAGGGTGATAATATTTGGTGGCAACAATTTGAAAAGTGATTCGCTGTTTATAGTTTTTAATGCAAAATGCCAAAACAAAATTAATAGTCCTTCAAGGCAAATTATTCTTTTGCACTTTAAAAAAAAAAAAAAAAAAAGTCTTTACTGCAAGGATATTACTTTGCGATCAGCGACAAGTGACTGTTGTTGCTTCTAGATTATTATGCACTTGTTGATGATAATTGGCTAGTATCATGTGGAATTATTCTACGTATGGGTGCAAATGGATTAGCTATTTGACTAGCTATCATATAATATTAGTAATGAAAAGAATGTGTGATCCAATTTTTCTGTTATAGATATACTACATGACACTTGTTTTGTTTTGTCATATTTTTTCAGCTTGAGATGTTGCATGTTTAATTTGCTTCTTTGCTGGGTGATTATCTCTGCATAATGAATAACCAGTCATTCATTATATGCAAATAGTTATTCTTTTATCAAACTCATGTTATATAATGTTAGGATTGTTACCAGCTAGTTAGATTTCATGCCAATGTTTTTATGTTTGACACTAAATGGCAGCCCGTTAACAGGAAAGTATTGAAAAAAATGACATATGCTATGTTCTTTACACATTGAATTTGGTGTGTTTTTGTTGTAAAATCAGAGGATGTTAGTTGTTGTTCCTAAACGTTTTGTTTAGTATCAAGCCTAAATCATAGGGAAAGAGATATGTCAAAGTGCACTCATATGGCATCGAAAATTAGTGGCATGTACTATTTCAAAATTCTGATTTCTATTAATGTGTTATAGTAACTGTAAATCTGTGGAGTTAATGATAACTAGATGAGGGATTTATAAATAGATGTTTGTAATGTATATTTCAAGATAGCTTAAGATTTAGATTTTGAAATCAGTTATGTGTAAGAGACAAAATTTTAAATGTGCTATCCTGTCTTTAGGTACTTTCAAAGCATTATCTTGAACATGGGGAAGACCCTGATTTATCTTCAATTTTTTAAGAATGCATGGTTAAATATGGAGTACTATGTTTGTTTTCAGGTTACATACATGTTAGCACAACCACCTTAGTAGAAATTCGTATTAGTAGTTAAAGCTTACCAAAAAAAGTACACCTTACTAGTAATTAAATGGTCAAGAAAAATCTTGGTTAACAAAAAGATCATTGGTAAAATTTTCAGAATGTGCCAAATGATGGCAACCATGCACTAACAGTTCTTCAATTTTAACAAGTAGCATTGCCATTTTCATTTGTCATCTCGTTACTCTATTCCGACTTCAAATAGTTTTCATAGATAAATTGTATATTTTTTGTACTCAAACTCAATTTTTAAAATATGCCTAGTGGGATTTGTGTACAATTTAAGAAGAGGCAATATTGCTGCAATTGGAATAATTATTTTATGTCTATTTTAAAGCGATCGCTGCAAAATTTGAAACAAGCAAAATAAAATCTGATTTGTGAAATAGGTTTATTGATTGATTTTCAGAATAAGTATCTAATTAAAATGCAAAATATGGATGTAGTAGTAAGTAATAAATGTAATAAATAATTTCTTACAATTATAAATCTAGTTGTACTAATTCATAAGTACCTTCTTCAGTAACTGTTTTTACATTATTTGGTTATTAGTTCTGAATATTTATCTATATTTTTTAGCTTTTAAACAATGGCTCCTCCATGCTTTGCTGATCTTGGAAAACAAGCCAGAGACGTATTTAACAAAAATTATCGTAAGAACGTTTTTGTATAATTTATAATAATGCAGTTTTTAAATAATTTGATATGTTATTTAATATGAGCGATGAAGTCTGTCAAAATTTCTTTTGGCAGATTAAAGCCTTTATGGTAGATTTCATATTGGAAGTAGTTGCACTGATCAATAATAGGTTGTTACTAAACTGTTTTTCCTCCATCTGGAAAATGGGATGCTTGCATAGTGATTTTATGATTGTTTGAAGTAATGAATGACATTAGTAACCAAATGTGGTGCACAGGTTAAATTAAATAAGAAATTAGGATTGTTGTATTTGGTCGGTGACTGATTTCAGATTTTATAAAACTAAATTTATGATTAAAGTGCTTAAATTTCACTCATAGAGTCAAAAACATTATTAAATTGTGGAAAAATGCATTATTACTCTTGGTGAAAATTGGCGATTTTTTTTTTTTTTTTTTTTTTTTTTCCCCACCATTCCTGTTTATGTGCAATGCCCTCCCAACTAAAATACTTTCCAAAACGTAATGCAATATAAAATATAATTAAAACAGAAAAAAAATTTTAATCTCAATAAACTGCATTTTAAGCCAAATTTAATCTAGGATATCATAAAAATGAAAATACATGTGATCTAATATTTGCTTTGCAAAAAGGAAGTATCAACCTTATTTAGAAATTTTTCAAAAATATCCTCCATACTGCCAGTGGCATTTCTTTGAAAAGTCCCTTTATTACGTCCCACATACCTTCTACAGTGTTTATATGAGCTCCGGTTTCCAAATGCTTAAATGTCTCTGTGTAATTTATTGAGAGGTGAACAAAACCATTGAAATCTTCATTTACACACCAGTCAGTCGATGTTTTCTTTCCAAATTGCACAGAAATTTCAGGTTAATCTTACCACCAGCAGCCATTTTACAGTGTAAAGCACAAAATAAGCAATGTACTTCCTAATTGATACCCAACGCAGAAATAAACTCTGAGAAATATTTTCCTCAAAATCCATACAATAATGCATTACAACAAATCACTTCATAATATTGTTTCCAAAACATTCAATGTAAAATAAATACTCAGGTTACCATAAATGAAACAACTTGGCAATAATCGAAGAGGTACCCTAAAATATAGACTACCTATTAAATTTTCTATGTATCTGGTTTTAAAAAAATATATCAAAAAGAAAACTATATATTGTCAAGCAGGACAATTTGATTTTCAGTTGGAATATAAATGCAAAGAAACTGATCATAAAGGATCATCAAAATCTGCAATTAAAAGCTCGAGAAAAATCTTTAAACTTAAGCAAAATGGTCATTAGTAAATTTCATTGCTGAATTATGTTTCCTCCATTTAGAAGTGTTGTAGCAGATGTTGCCAACTGTAGCAACATGCAAACTATAATTTCCTTTTCCACTCTGCCTGTAGCATGTATTATCATTGATTGTAGCTTTTCTGATTCTAGTTTATTTCATAGTTTCTCGATAATTTTTGTGATCTCATATGTATTGATTGAAATTGGGGGAAAAAATGGTACTGCCTTGTGAATACTAGTACCAAGATAAAAATGTTTTGAATGATTTTTAACAGATTTCGGAACTACTCTTATATGTGCCCTCAGGGTCTCACCAAACAGTTTTAGCAAGAAACTCCATGCCATCATATGACTACCTAAATTTTTTGTCTAAATTTCAAATTTTATGCCTAAAATGTGTCTCCAAAAACACAGTTTTCGCACATGCAAAAACCTACGTTTTGAAGACACAGTTTAAGCTAAAAATCCGAAACAAACACAAAAAATTTAGGTAGCAAAAACATAAAGTTTCTAACCAAAAATATTTTACAGGAATCCATGTACACAGCGATATGTTTTAACTTAAAAAAACATCGACAAATTGCACATTCTAGGCAGCGAAGGAATCTATGAACTACGCACACTTCGCTTCAATAAATTAATATAACAACAATAAATTTCAAAGAATACCATGTACACAGCATTCTGTTTAAATTTTTAAAAAAATCTACGAATTGCACAATCTAGACATTGCGCACAAATCAACTAAATAAACTAAACTAAATTACAAACAATTCAAAAAACAAAATAATAACAGAAATTCATAGTAAAATAAGCAATAAACATAACATTCTGCAAAATAAAAACAGTAAAATAAAATTCACTTACCATAATACATTCCTGAATAAAATTTTGCCAGTCATACGATGTCTCTGAACAAAAGTGCCAGGATTTTGCTATATCACATCTTTCCGAGATTCAAAATTTCGAAAGTAACGATAAAATCTTCCTCAAAAGTTAACCTACTACACGAAAACCACAATCCAAACTCCGCTAACAGCCACATACTTTACCAGCAACAATTTGACTGCAAATCCACACAAGGACTATCAAAAACGCCCTTCTTCGTCCGAGTTCTCATAGCAGCTCCGCATTTTGGACTCCGTTTTAAAAGTCCCACATTGCAAAAATACACTTCAATCCTCATAAACACACCCGTGAACAAAAGACTTGTTAAAAACTCCAACATTGTACCTTTTAATACTAAATTTACTTTTCACACAATCTAAAATACGCAACTGAAATCTTGCCACCACGTCTATCGTTGCAACATAGGCAATTTCAAAACACGCACGACATGAACCAACGAGCAATTAAACCACTCCAGCAAAAGAATTTTCATCGTCGTCAGGGTTGTCATACAACACTGGCAAAAACCAGTGCAGAACACATATCGTCACATTTGGTGATAAAGTAGAAGTCCAGAAATCCGCAAAGCTTGGGACCAGAGGTTGTGCGGATTTCAGGACAGAAAAGATAAAGCGTAATATTCGGACTAAAAGGCAAAATAATAAGGCATATTAGAGACATTTAGTTAAATTATATATACATATTGCAATAATTTATTATTACATAGATATATTGATTATATTATTAATTGTATTATATGTACACAGCATCGAGGTTTGCCGATTTCGCCTCGTGCAAAGATTTCGTATTCCGGTATTAGAATCACCGTTGCTGTAAAATTTCAACAGCTTTGTATTTTTCCGTATATCATACATAATTGTGTCTCAATTCCATACCATGCTGCTATAAATCGAGAAGTAGCAACTGCCTCCATCTTTTGCAGAATTTGCACTTTTTCCGTTACTGTCAATACAACGTGTTTACGTTTTTCAACGTTGCAAGCAGTAAAATCATGAGTTGTCGTTGTATTAAAAAGGGCTGAAATTTAAAATATTCTTAATTTATCAAATAGAAATATTAGGATAGAAAAAAGGCAGCACTAAACAATCTTGTGAAATAACAAAACTAAAAAAATACAACAACGTGAATCGTGAACTTGAATGAAGAGTTGAGTGAATCGTCTGCTTTTTTACCTCGATGCAGATATTAGAAAAAAAAAAAACTTTTATCTTATTTTTGTAAACTCTTTTTAATGTCAATAATTTGGTATTTCCATTATTACGTCATTATTCGGTAAGTATTTTTTCCTCGATATTTCGTGCTCAATGTTGCAGTTTCCAAAACCTATAAATTGAATGTTTATATTTTGAGAGGCAACGTGGATTTCAGGAGTTGGCGGATTTTCAGTATTTGACTGTATTAGGGCGCATATAAGAGTAGAGCCCAGATTTCTATCCGTATTTGTGCGACTGTTCTCTATGAAGCCCAGAAACTGGCTAATTATCAACTAGGACATTGAAAATACTGACATAATTAAAAAATTTACTTTTTTGTACCTTACAAGCATAAATATTTTTATTAAAAAAATATTCCTAGTAGTGTTTTCATTTACTTTGTTTGATTTTGACCTGGCCTTTGTGTGCAAAATAGCTGCTTTAAAATAACAAATAAATATAAGTAAACAATGTGTATTATTTCAAAACCTGTTCCTAAATATCAATTTACACAAAACTATTTTGTGTAGACATATGTATGATATGATAATACACGAGTTGATTGTTATCATGTGTATACTTAAAAATCAGTCAGAAACACAGCATCGTTCATTCCAGTTATAGTGAAAGTTGAAACCAGAAATACAGACAGTCAGAAAGTGCTGTATTTTGCTATAAATGTGTAATTAATTATTAAAGATGAAAATTGTACTGCAGATATTTTTAATTATCTGCACCTTAAAAGCAACTTTGTGAATTGGGAAAAACATTTGTTTGGCTATCTTTATTGCTCATAGCTACTATTCTGATTACAAATAATAAAAAAAGAAACATTTTGTGGAAAATAAGTAATTGTATGAGAATAAACTAAATCTATATGGCCAGTGTTTACATTAGTGACAATGATTACTTTTCAGATATTAGTCAATTCAGATAATATGAATTGTACTGTACCTCTTTTTTTATTATGCCGTCAGATTTTTCTCTTGTAGTTCTTATCATATTTTAAACATTTTTCTAGCATTAAAATGTTTGCTAATAATTTTACATCTTTCTTATTTAGATATCGGTTTAATAAAATTAGAAGTTAAAACTAAGACTGCTACTGGAGTGAATTTCACAGTCAGTGGTACATCTAATAATGACACAGGAAGAGTAAATGCATTCCTAGAGACAAAGTACCTGATAAAAGATTATGGTAATGTATGAATATTCAGATCTTGTAATTTAAAAAATGTACATGTAGGTTTTTCCATTTAAGAACAAAATTCATTTAAAGACTTGTAAAATATTTGATTCAGTAAAGTATTGTATGCATTGATTCTATTATGTGTTTGTTTGCAAAGTCATCATAATTTTTCAATTAGCAGATAATAAAAAGAAATAAGTGAATTAAATATGAAAATCTTATTTATTTAGCAGAATGTAATTGTCCTATAGAAATACTTTTATTTAATACTTTTAAGAATTTTAAAGTAAGCAATTAAAAATTAATTTTTAATGCAATAAAATAAAATATACAATATGTTTCTTTCTAATAACCATTTACATGTGTATAGATAGAATTACATACTTAGAACCACCACAGCTATCTGACAATCTTTTTTATTGAAGCTAACACCATGAAATATAACTGAAATGTTTATTTAGTTTATAAAATAACAAGGTATGCAATATCATTTATTGCAACAATTCCACTTGAGTATTTTTGAAAACATATTTTTTCAAATTAATGCTCTTTACTGTTTGATTTAGTATAATTGCAGTTATTTTGTGTAACTTCAGCCTGAGTGTTTCATTGTTCCTAGATTTGTTAATGTATATTTTAGAGTTTCAGATAACTCATTAAAAAGTAGTTCCATAATATCAAAGGAAATCATTCTGAGAATGGAGCATCACCTCCTTTTGAAATCATGACTGAACATTTGCTCAAGTACAGTCATTTCTGGAAATATGTAATATTGTCTTGATATGTGACAAAACAAATTATCACCACATGCTATTCTGCAATCACACTTCTTAACATGATTCATATTCTGTACAACATTGATGCATCTCTTTCTTTTTGTCAGTTACAATGTACCGGAATATCTGTAGAATGCTTATAACACAAAAATAATTAATTAATGAGAGGTTGTCTGTTCCTCAATGGCGCTGTGATTTAATGTGTAGACATTTTGTTCTTTTTGTGCCACCCAGATGGTATAGTGGGTAGGTGAGCGTACTGCAAAACCAAAGGCCCTGGGTTTGAATACTGGAGAAGGCATGGCTGTAATTCTCCATTCCTTCATAGAACGTAATGGTAGGCCACCTATTAGGTGCTTCCACAATAAAGTGGCCACCACTTCCAGCCTTAGTTGTGCCCAAGCCTAAGTAGTCTAAAGTGCCTGCCAGAAGGGTGGAAAACTGTTCTTTTCATGACTCAAGACCTTTTCTTTCTGAAAAAAAAATTCTGTTACAAAATGTAAATAATATTTATTCGTGTTTGGACACAATTTCTATTTTAACTATTTTATGCAATATAGGACATTGGTATGACAAATAAAGGCATAATTCAGTAACTGTGTAGTAAAGTGTTTTAGAAAACTGAATGCCTTTTTATTTCTTTTCGTGTCTGCATTAAAATATCCCATCGCAATAATCGGTACTTCTGGCAACACCATAATATATAAATGGAAATAATAACTCTCTTGCATATGTATCATGTACAAGATTTATTGATATGAAATTTTGATTTGGTGCAATATTGAGACAATGTATTTCATTCCACAGCAACATTTGCTGTCTTGCCACTAATACTTCTGATTTCAGCACTTTCTCACCAATGTCTTCCATTTTATAATTTTCTGCGCCTACATTCAAACAACCGTGATTATTCAATCCACTCCAATCGATCTTAGTTTGAAAATGTTTATAAAGAGGCTCTTTTTGTAGACTAAAACTTTAACAAAACTCTTCTTTACTACATCACTCATAAACTGTTTTGTGTCTTGAATGTTTCTTTATGTTAACATTAAATGCTTGATCATCACCTAAGCTCCTTGGCAAAGATGTTACCATTGTATTAACATCAACTGGCACATTGATTACTTGCCTAACTGTTACATACCCTTCGGCTTGCAATTTCTGAATTTGTACGAATGGTAAACGAGGCACTATCAAGCCTTCACATATTGGATCAAGCTTAGGCAAATTTGGTCGATCCAGATATGTGAACCCATGATTCTTCAACAACACTGGTATTTTATTGTTGTACAATGATTGCTTGCAAGAACTACACAAATAGAACCCTTGTACATCTTTGTTTGGAAACTCCTCACATAACACAGCAATAAAGTTATCATTCTTAGTCACTGTGATCAAATCTTTCATTAACATAGCCTATATCAAACACTGCAAACATATCTGAACTCACTGTCTCACTGTTTTGTGAAATATTTTGTACATTGTTCATCTAAATACTTCCATCACTGTTTGCAAAAATAGTCTTCGGTGTGATCAATCTGAAGTATGCCGAAATATTATTAAATGAAGAATTTGAAGTTGAGCTTCCTTCATTTATTTAAAAGTAGTCTGTGATGTTCAAATTCTTTTCTTTTTTTCTTTTCATAGTAGCATTTTGCATGTTCTTTGTGCAACTTGTTTTGCTTGCTGTTTTTCTTCTTTACTTATTTAGCAGCTGGTCACTCTTTTCTCTGTTTCAACAAATTTTTTCGTTCATTCATTTTCAAATTTTATTGATTTCTGTGAAACATTCAGAATTTATACAACCACTCGCAACTGCGTCCAACAAGCAACTGAGCTAAAGCCGCCCACCAGACGAAAATATGCAGGAGTGGGGGTGCACGGCTACTATCTGAGTATGATGAGCACAGCGTATGATGTCATCAAAATTCATGCGATTTTCACTAACTTTGTCATTCAGCTGTAGCTGGACTGTAATTCCAAATTTTTTTTTTTTTTTTTTTTTTTAAATTTAAGGATTTCCTAATCTGCAAAAGGACCATAACTTTTCCTTCCTGTGGACCATAAGTCTATGTTAAAAGGCTAATTTGATTTAAAATTCTCTTCCTATACTGGGGAAACGGGTATTTCGGTAAAACATATAATTGCAATAAAAGCATTAAAAATATGCCAAAATGAAAATTGTGTTAGAAAAGCCAAATGAATGAAAGATAAAATTGACATTCTAATTTTATGAAAATATCTTATACATCTTATAAAAATCTTGTATATATCTTTTATCCTGTTTTTTTTTTTTTTTTTTTTTTAAACCAGCTTAGATGCCAAAGACCTACATTAAACGAGATTTCAAAAAGAAAAAAATGCATTTAAGACATAAAAAATTGTGTATTTTCACAGGCCTTAAACATATGAAAGTAAAGCATCTTATCTAATTCTATAATCTCTGTGACTATGGAAGCTAGCAGAGATCTTGCCGGATTTGTCCAGTCATTCAGTCGGAAGTTTAAAAGAATTAGCAACTCTTGATTTAGTTTGATAATCCAGATATACAGATGATGGATATAGAATTTAAAAAATTATTACTTATTATAATTTTTCATGTTATATTGCCATTGCACAATCCTCTTTAAAATAAAATCTAACATCGTACCCATTAATTAGTACATACTTTTCTTTATACCAAGAATCCTGCAATTTTGTAAATACTCTACTGCATAGGGCAGATCCCAAATTTTATTTTATTTTTTCCTCCTTTTCTTTTTCAAAATGCAAGGGGGAAACCCATGAATAGCAGTTGTTTGGTCCAGGTTGTAATCCTATTGGCTTTACAAGCCTGTCATTTGCATAATTTTTCTTTAACGGAAGCTTTACTAAAATTTTAAAATATACCAGTTGCTTAAGCTTTCTGGTTAGTTGAATGTCATACTTTTACTGTATTTCATTATGATTGTAACTTATATTTTGCTTTTGTACAGAACAATTTTCTGCATTGCATGTATCTTTAAATATTATGCATTAAGAGTTATTTTAATTCAAATATGTTAATTTAGGAGTTACAATCAAAGAGAAGTGGAATACGGACAATGTACTTTCTACTGAATTATCTGTAGAAGACCAATTTGTTAAAGGTTTGAAACTTACGTTGGACTCCAATTTTGCACCACAGAGTGGGTAAGAATTTTATTTAATGCATTCTTTTGAATATAAATTTTTTTTATAATTTATTTTGCAATTATTACTATTTCTGAATATTTTATTAATAAATTACAACAAAAGTGACATTTTGTAATATTTTTAAACATGAAGACTTTTCTTGCTTTTATAAAACATTTACTTAGAAACTCTATGTTAATAAGTATTTTGGAATGAGTTTTTAAGTCTAACAGATTTGTTTTAATTCATAGATCAGTATTTTGTATCTTGATACATAAATTAATACTTTTCCACTTGTGGAGAAGCAGTCAGAATATGCATAAGAATGATGATACCTTATATAATGGGTGGCCATAATTAAACTGACAGTGCTCACAGTGTTCTGTAGCGCGATCTATTTTCGAGAATGACGCCACATTTTGTAGGAAGATTAAATAAGACAGGGGACGAAGGATTCCGCGAAAAAAAATTAGTTCCAAAAGTCACTGCTAGGAGAATATTTGGCGCTGTGTAATAGAAAATAGTGTGTTAACAAATGCAAATTAATAGGGAAATTACCTTTTATTTTGCATTCAAATAGCTATTGTTGTGGACCACATATTGCATTCTGTGCACAGTATGCACAACAGCAGAAACTAACGTGTCTGCAGGAATCTCCCGTACAGTCCGTTGATATGTTATCCTTCAACGTAGTCTGGTCCTGGACCACTTCTTGATAGACCTTGATAGACTTAAGGTCACCTCCATAGCCAGAAGTCGCATGGGGCAAGATCAGGCGACTGAGGTGGTCATGTAGTTGCAAAGTAGCGGCTAATGTCTCTTTCTGTTTTGAATTTCTGTCAAAGCATCGGTTGCACCCGTACAGCAACGTGTGGAGGGGCTCCATCTTGCATGAAAATGATTTCTCCCAGGCATTGTCTTTGGTGAAATGCCGGAATGACATTTGGCGATATTTCTCTCCGGTAACAGAACAGGCTTCCGGTCCTGTCGGGGTTATGTTCTCATAGAAGAATGCACCTACGATACATTCCACTGTGAACCCACACCAAACAGTTACCTTTGGTGAATGTAAGGGAATTGCTGTGACTGCATGTGGTGATTTGTCATCCCAAGTTCGGCAGTTCTGGGTATTCACAGTTCCATTCAGGTAAAAGTGGGCTTCGTCTCCCCATAAGATCATCCATCACGGCCAAGCATCATCCACCTCCATTCTGGCAAGAAAGGTGAGAGCAAAAGTCAATCACTTATCATGGTCGGGGTACAGTAACTCCTGTACACGGCTGATCTTGTACGGATAGAAGTTGATACTCTTTCATAAGATTTTCCATACCGTACTGTAAGGCATATCCATATTAAAAGGTAATTTTATTCTGTATTAATTTGCATTTGTTAACACTCTATTTTCTATTACACAGCACCAAATATTCCCCTAGCGGTGACTTTTGGAACTAATTTTTTTCCGCTGAATCCTTCGTCCCCCATCTTGTTTAATCTTCCTACAAAATGTGGTGTCATTCTCGCAAATAGATCGCGCTACAGAACACTGTGAGCACTGTCAGTTTAATTATGGCCACCCGGTACTTTGGAATTTGCCAAGCTTTGGGTCATCATCATTTCTCCGTTCAAATATGTTTTGTGAGAGATTTTGTATATACACACACTGAAGAGCCGAAACATTGTGACCACCAACTCAATAACACATTGTGTAACTTCTGGCCTGCGAAACAGCTGCAGCTCACCTTGGCATGGATGCCACAAGTTCTTGTTAGATGATTAGAGATAGGTTGTACTAGATATCTAAGCGGCAGTCATACAAAATCAAGGTATTCCGACATGCTCTGAGCTGCTCTTCAATTACATCCCAAATGTGCTCTATCAGGTTAAGATCTGCCAAGTTAGGTGGCCAGGATATTCATTGGAATTCATCCTTATGCTAATTGAACCACTCCAACCCAATTTGAGCCTTGCGACATGAGGCATTGTCCTGCTGGGAGATTCCACTTCCAATTGGGAAGACAGACTGCACGTATGGGTGCAGTTATGTTCAGATAGCCCACAGCTTTCATGGTCTGGTGGGGGGGCAACTGTTTGCCTGGTTAAGATGACTTATCCTAACATGATGAATGAGAAATCATGATTCATCTGGCCAGATAACTGTCTTCCACTTATCTATAGTCCAGTCTTGATGTTCCCGGGCCCACTGTAGCCGTAGTTCACAAATGATGCTTGGTCAACAGAGGCATATAAATAAGACATCTACTATGCAGTCCCATATCCGATAGCATCCACTGAATTGTGTATTCTGAAACACTTGGACCAACACTGTATTCGGCTCTCAGCTAAACCGCTTCCTGGTGCCAATTTTCCTGTACCGAGCAGAACAGTCACCAACATTTTTTTTCTTTGATGATGCATGAATATCCAAATAAATCACTTATTGGCACTATCATATAATTTACATAGGTAGAAAATAAAATCTGCATAAGTAACATGCTGAATATGCGATTATGCAAATTTTTATTCTATGGTTACCTTTTATTTTATCACTGTCATCATTGGCAGTGAGGTTTGCTCTTAAGTTTTCACCTCCTGTGTGAAATATATCACACTGAACAATATTTTAAATTAATATGCGAGATAAGATAATAATGAGTATTCAAATAATTTATTTTAATTTCAGAAAAAAGGCTGGAACCCTTCGCACAGCATTTAAGAATGAACATGTGCATTTAAATGGTGATGTAGATATTGACGCTACTGCTCCTCAGTTCCATGGTGCAGGTGTGATCAAGTATGTTGTAATATTTTGTAAAGTAACTTTTTTTTTTGTTTCCTGTCTTTATGTTAAAGAAATTTACCATTAAAATTCAAATATTCTGATCAGAAGAGGAAAACAAAACAAAATATGAACTGTGTGTTGTAAAATAGTCAAGTTCTAATAAATTAACAGCAATTTTTGTCATAATGTGAAGTACTGCAAATTTTAATAGCATATGTATGATTTTGTGTGAAATGTTATTATTGAATACATTTTTATGGGATATTAATTACTTGAAATAAAATGTCTCCCTAACAGTTTTTTTTTTTTTTTTTTTTTTTTTTTTTTTTTTTTTTTTTTTTTGTTAATGTTATGAGACAGTGAATATCTGTAAACTCTTAACAAAGTTCAAAAGAAAGTATTATAGTAAAATAGAAAGACTAAATTATATATGCTTCTAACACGGACAAACTCGGCGACATCAGATCATTCTTATGCTGTGTTATAGTATAGCGTTTGGCAAATATAAAAACATTTTTTATCAATTACTATAATGGTGCAAATGGTAATAAAACTTATCAGTTAAATATATTATAAATTACATCAGTTAAATTTGTAAAATCACCAGATATATCATAGCACATTAATAAAATCCTGCCATGATTTTAGAACTTAAAAATAATTCAGGGATCAAAAAGGCTGTACTATAAACACAGTTTGAGAAATCAGTTCAGTGAGTGAATAATCAAGATACTGTGTAATTATGATTTTAGGAAAAAAGTTCAGAGGAAAAAAGCCCACACAGAAGTATGCCCACATAGAAAAATACTCACATGGAAAAATGCTCACTTAGAAATATGCTCACACGGAAAAAAGCTCACATAGATATATGCTCACATAGACATAAGCCCACTGATAAATGAAATACGAAGAAATATCCCTTACATTAATTGATCAATAATTAATCGATTTAAACATCGTACACAACTTTAATTTTTTAAAGAAAAATTATTTGATCATTTGAAAAAATTATTGGATAAATGCTCATATTAACCTTTTCAGGGGCGGTATATAAAGGAATGAAAACTATAGTAAAATTTTGCATGTACTGTAATATTTTATACAACTTGCCCCTGTACGACATTTTCCCCCTGTAACTGCCAATAGTTTCTTTTTGTTTTTTATTTACTCTATTTTTGCATACTTTTGATGTGTATCTATAGAAATTGATGTCTGAATGTAGTTATTTAAGTTTGGAGCCAAAAATGTTCTAGAAGAAGACAGTTTCCAATCGAAGTGTTGAATCATTATGAAGTTTCCAGTCGAAGTGTTGAATCATTATGAAGCAACCTTCGAAAATCTCCTAAAACAACAAATTACTACGAAAGCTTTCATAAGGTACTAAATCCGTTATTTAATTGTAGCTATCCTAGTATGTGGTTTTTGTTTGACGGACTGAAAAAAGATTTAGGCTGTCATTTAGGCACCCTATATTTACTAGTTATTGTAAATACAGGACGTACTGAAGTAAAAGAAAATATGAAAACTTTCATTTGGTAATCGCGAATCATGTAAGAAACTATGATGAAATCGATGATAAAATTAGATATTTACGTATATTTAGCTAATATTCAGTAAGTTTGTAGAGATATTAGGTATTTTGGAAGCAGGAGATGTGAAAAAATGAGCAAAGCCTTCGTCGGGAATCCAACCACAAACCTCTGGAATACGCTCCCAGCGTGCAGACCACGAAGTCATGCTAGAAATACCTTATATACATCTCCCTTTTAAAGGCCGATTGGGGATGTTTAGGGGACCTAATCGCCAAATCCTGGGTGTAGAAAATCATCATCCACCACCCTTTTAGTTCGGGCACCACTGTAGAGACATTAGGTATTTTGGAAGCAGGAGATATGAAAAATGAGCAAAGCCTTCGCCGGAAATCGAACCAATGACCTCTGGAATACGCGGCCAATGTGCACACCATGAAAGCATGCTAAAAAGGTGGCAGAAATACCTTATAAGTCTATGTGAAATATACACAATTTATATATAACAAGGTATTTTACGTAATTTAAATAAAGTAATTACTTCTGTTTGCTTATTCTTCTGAATGTTTATATTATAAAATGTGTAACTTACTCTTAGTGTTATTTTTTTTTAACTATTAAAATTGTCATAATTTTTCGCTGTATATTCTGTTTCATTTTCCTTCCTTCCTCCTCTCTCTTTCCTAATTCAAAACGGCCCATTTTTTAATCTTGTATAGCAACTAAATCTACACATAAGTTATACAGTTTTTGATATATATACACCACAGATGTTTTGGTAATTTAAATAATTTTTCTTTGAAAAATTCAAGTAGATGTACGATGTTCAAAATCGATTAATTTATTGATTGATTAATGTAAGGATATTTCGATGTATTTTATTTATCAATGGGCTTGTTTCCATGTGAGCATATTTCTAAGTGAGCATTTTTCCATGTGGGCTTTTTTCCTGTGAGCATTTTTCTGGTCACCGTAATTATTTACAGCAGCTATTTTTAAGTTCTCTCAAAATGAGAGTTTAACATTCATTACTAAGTTGGTTTTAGGAACACTTCCTAAAAACAAATATAGCAGTGTTGCCACAAAAGTATGCGAAATATCAAACACACACTTACATTAATTGATCAATATTTAATCGATTTAAACATCGTACACAACTTTAATTTTTTAAAGAAAAATTATTTGATCATTTGAAAAAATTATTGAAATTATTTTTCTGAACCAACATATAAAGTCTTTTTTTTTTTCCTCTATTTTGCTAGTAAATTAATCTTTTTGTATTGCAGTCGGATAAGTATATCCAAGCCTCAACAATTGTAACTATATATTTCCATTTTTTTCACCAGCCACATTATTTTCTTACAGCTATTTGCACATAGTCTTACACTGAGAAACATGTTTCTGTGTTAAGCGATGAGCATCGTTTTTTTTTTTTTTTTTTTTTTTTTTTTTTTTTTTTTTTTTTTTTGTTTTTTTTGTTTTGTTTGTTTTGTTTTGTTTTGATAAGCTTTAAATGTTTTGTTTTGATTAGCATTAAATCAGATTTTATAATTTTGTTCACAGTTCCGACAGAAATATTTAAAGATTTTGCAATATCTCTTTGGGGGGCTGGATTTTCCTTTGAAACATGAGATGCAATTTGGGGTTTCAAAAGAGCTGTGCGTACCTTTGTTGGGTAAAAATAGAGCAGTAGATTTAGAAGCCTCATGGCTAAATCAGTAGGCCTAATATACTGCCCCGGATGAGCAATTGCCATTGTTTATCATCATTAAAAGAAGTTTCTCTCAGCAACTCTCAAGCTGCTGCTCTATTTCCAATTTGCTCAGCATGTGCAATTGCATTAAGCTTAAAACCAGCAGTATAGCTTCTGTGCCGTTTAGGTGCCATTTTCAAAAATGTTCTGCTCCAGGAAAAATCAATTTGTGCTGAAGAAGAAATTATCCAGGAAAAATCAATTTGTGCTGAAGAAGGAATACGCCAGAGTTTGTTATTGCAACACAGGTGGAGTTGTGTCCGCCTTTGAAAAAAATCACAGTAGATTTACAATGGAAAAGACAGGAGAGGGAAGATGATGGTCCTGAAAGATCATCCACTGGCAAAGAAGAGGGATTATTCAAACTGATGAGAATGCTGATTTGAAAGAAGGAAGAATGTTATTGATCTAAGATCCCATTTAGGTGAATAAGGCACATAGGTCCATTCAAGACAAATAATGTAAACAAAATAAAGTTTGCAACTGAGTGGTGTTTTGTGTGGCAACAGCACCAAACTATGTACAATGACATCACAGGATATACTTTTTTAAGTGCACCTAGGTACTTTGGATGAATAGAAACATCACACCCACTGAAAATTTGTTTTAAACATGTTCATTCTGATAGCCCTTTTTCTGAACTATCATATTACATCTTGATTTCCAAGATAAAAGTCCTTTTCTTAAAACATAAAGGTTAATTTTATTCCACTCCTCTTTCACAGTCTTCCAGAGTCCATCCAGTGTTTTGGGGTGCCAATTATAAAGAGCTCATTTTAAAAGTCCAGATGCACAGTAATCCGTAGGAAACACATTAGGGGACTTGGGTGGGATGCATTTAAAGGGAATAGCTTCAACGCAGCTTTCATTTCTCATTTTTCAAAAAATAGAGCAGTAGATTTAGAAGTATGGCTTGGGGCCTTATCCTGATGGAACTTAACACAGTGAATATTGTTTGGATAAAGAGATTGAATTTTCTTCTTTAAAAATAGGTGTTAAAGGATATTTTTTTATAGTAATCCAAATTAATTTGACATTTTTTTTCTACTTTCCGTATTTTAAGTTTTCTATTGTAAGAGAATCCAGCAATAGCCACAAAACCTTTAGAAAAACCTTTCTTCCTTTTTCTGAACCAACATATAAAGTCTTTTTTTTCTCTCTATTTTGCTAGTAAATTAATCTTTTTGTATTGCAGTCGGATAAGTATATCCAAGCCTCAACAATTGTAACTATATATTTCCATTTTTTTCACCAGCCACATTATTTTCTTACAGCTATTTGCACATAGTCTTACACACTGAGAAACATGTTTCTGTGTTAAGCGATGAGCATCGTTTTTTTTTTTTTTTTTTTTTTTTTTTTTTTTTTTTTGTTGTTGTTTGTTTTGTTTTGTTTGTTTGTTTTGTTTTGTTTTGATAAGCTTTAAATGTTTTGTTTTGATTAGCTTTAAATCAGATTTTATAATTTTGTTCACAGTTCCAACAGAAATATTTAAAGATTTTGCAATAGCTCTTTGGGGGGCTGGATTTTCCTTTAAAACATGAGATGCAATTTGGGGTTTCAAAAGAGCTGTGCGTACCTTTGTTGGGTATGCATTTTTTGCCTTTTTCCCAGTCAGATATAAATTTTAACGTTTCTGTCCTTTCATATTAATTATGTCACTTATTTTACGTGTAGAAATAGTAAAACCTGCTTTTCACATCTTTTTTTAATAATTGAATAATAATATTTCTCTTCGGAGAGTGCAAAAATATAGTCTTTCATCCATTGTTTATTTTCAGCAAAATTTTGAAGAAAAGAATATTTTTAATGCTGCAGACAATAATTAAACCTTATTCCAAATTGATGCCAGTCATGTTCATATTTTAAAATTACTATTTAAATTTGTGGAGAAAGTCAAAATCGTTACAAAATTGTGCAAGCACCCTTTGTACTGTATCACTGATAGATTACATTATTTTTTCCCAACTGAAGTCCCAAACTGGAATACTATTCTGTGACTAAACAAAGTACACCTTAAAATAGAATAGAGCTCCGGAGTAATGTCTGACTATTCAAACATGTAAAAACTAAAGCATTTTAGTTTCAAGCTGCGAGATCAGTTATTAGTCCAAAGCGGCAATTTGCTCTGAGGGACTATTAATTTCATTTTGGCATTTTGCGTCGAAAACTTTAAGAGGCCGTATCACTTTTCAAATCATTGCCACCCTATATTATCACCTTGTCTTATATTTAAAGAAATTAAATAATGAAGATTTTGCATAAATGTGTGTGTTTCTCGCATTGTGATAAAATAATGTTACCTAGAGCCATCTAAATTTGAATAACATAATCTTCCATAGAATATGGGCATGTGGAAGTCCTAAATTGAATTTGAAATTTGTTTTATTATCGATTTCATATTTTGTAACACTTCAATGAATTTTTGATTAAAAAAACTAAACGATTTCAAAGTGAGTGATGGCAACACTGTACAAAAAGAAATAATTTTTATCTCCAGCATGCGAGACTGTGTATCTGAAATTCTAATGATATGCTTATTTTAAAATTAATTTGTGATATTGCTGTTGAACTTAATTTTATATTTTGAGTACATGGTACACAATATTTAATAAATAAAGATAACACACAAAACATTAAAAGAACGCCCCTGTGGACGTAATTTAAAATCTGAAAACTTTCAGATATTTTTTCTTATATATTTAAACTGTTTTTAGTTTTATATTACTTTTTTGATTTTTTACCCCTTCCTCTATTTATTTATGTGGCATTAAGAAGTTTTAATTTTTGCAGTTACCAGAACTGGTTAGTTGGTGCTAAATTCTCTCATGACTTTAGCAAGAACCAGTTGACAAAAACAAACATTGGTTTAGGTTATTCCCTAGGAGACTTTGTATTCCATTCAAATGTGTAAGTATGCTTTGGCTGATCTCTAAAATTAAACTGATGTTTAGTTGCATCCTCTTTTAAGTTAATGAATAAGTATTTGCTGGAAATTTTGTTTCTAATCATTTTTTTTTTTAAGACTAAGTGAATAGTTAATTATTTGTGCTTGTTCCCATAAATATCATTCATTTGATCTGGTGTATATGTGAAATATGTACTACTGAATGACCATACCTTCATATTAAAAGTAAGCAGATTATGAAAACAATAATTGTAGAAGTATACATGCCAATTGGAAGTGCAAATTAATTTTTCTAAAGTGGCAATAGTCATTTCATATGCATTTATTGATACATGCCAACTGGAAGTGCAAATTTATTTTTCTAAAGTGGCAATAGTCATTTCATATGCATTTATTGACATAAAAAATCATCTTGAAGTAAATTGATATTGTCTGTTACTTTAAAATGAGCATTAAGTCATAGCAACTGTCCCCACATTTAAATTAGAGAACTTTGCCATCTACCACAGCAGTCATTAACATGATTAAGAGTAGGCTAGAAAGGGGGGGAAATGGCTTTATTGTGTTTATTGTGAAATAATACTATAATGGAAGAGTTAGTATTGGTAGAAAATTTCATTTCTTAAGTGAACTGCAAATTTTATCCTATTTAAATTTCCTTTATACGACCAGTCATTCTAGCCTAATTTCTTATAGAAAAAAAATTTTGATACTTTACGTATTATCCTATTGATTATGAAGCTGTCGCCAAGTGGAACCAGTTATGAATAAGCGTGACGTAAAAACACACTCATAACGTTTGCATTTTCGTTTGATGTAATCTTGAATGCATTTCGATAAGCTACTTTTCATTTACACATAAACAGTTTTTTCACTTTCACTACTGTGGAAATAATTATTAAAATTTGGGACCTGTTTTTTACAGAATATCAAGCAGTAAATTATTTTCAAAGTTATGGTGGAATTTGATGGTGCCCAAAAATCTCTATTAATGGACACAGTATGTTTAGCTGAATATATGCAACAAAAGAGTAATAAATTGGGACAATTACCTGTGGGAAGGTTGTACTTGTAACTTTCTAAACAAAGCATCTGGTAAAACCAAAGAGCTGAGAAATACAGGAAAGCATTTTTATAAAATAGGTCAAATACTGTTTGTGTATTAAATAATCAAACATCAGTTGCTTCAGAATTGTGCAGGAACAACTGGTGCAACTTTGGCAAGATCTCTGCCAACTTTCACAGTTTGATAATCGGCATTCACAGTTGATGGATAATATGCGAGTACCAATTTTTTAATCAAGTGTCCAAATCTATAATGAATTTAAATATCAATAATTAAACAAATTTTTATAAGGTGAAAACTGAAAAACAGTATTTGGTGTAGTGAGTAAAAAAAATTTCAGAACTCTTTGTATTAAAATAGACTGTCATTTTCAATAAATGATTTAAATGTTAATTGTAAGTCACATTATCTTTTGTAAATTCTTCTGTCTATTCTTACTTTCCATTTGGGTGCTTGAGCTATAAGCAAAGCAGAATCTGGGAGATGTTTTAGGTCTTTTTAACTCTTCAAACTGGTAACACAAAAGGCCAAGCCAATACTAAGTGGCATTTCTTAATTCCAGAATCACTTTATTAAAAATGTTTACCTTAACTTCTTTTCTTCTAAAACATATACTACTATAACTATCTGGACACATTTCAAGATGCACGTCTGTGTGCTTTTAAGATACCATGACTAATATGTTTAATGTGACTTGGAGACTTGTAGAAATAAAGTGTAGGAATTTATTTTCTGAAGCAGATCTACAACCCTCCCTTTTTTAACTGTGTGAGTCCCAGGAAGTATTGAAAAAAGTTGTCAAAGAATCCCAAACAGCGCAACTGAGCTTTTTCTCGATGATTATGAAAAAATAATATTAATTAAAATAAATATTCTTGCATGAAATTTCTGTACTGAGTATAAATTTTCAGTCTCTAAATGAAAGGAACTTGTGAAAAGCCAATTCCTTGAAAGTCTTCTGAAATTTTTCTATTAGATTTGAAAGGAAGTTCAACTGAATACCTTTCATGTTCATCTCAAATATGCTTTTTTCAAAATGAATTTTACATAGTTTTTCTTCTGTTGTAAAAGGCTGTGAACCTGGCTGTACTCTCTGTTTTCCAAATGACATACTAATTCTTCAGTATTTACATTAATATGATTGACAGACAATGAATTACTCGGTTTAGGCATCTCTAAAGCTGTTGCCCCTGCAATAATCCAGCCTACTTTAGAACAAACAGCCAAAAGGTTAGACGATACACCATCTATCAATGTTAAAAATGCATTCACCCATAATAAAATGTGAAGTCTACTTGATTTATAAAATGGTGGATCTATAAAAGGGAGGTTATCAACTAATATTTTTTATTGTCAAAGCAGTAATGGAAACTCTTCAGTCACTACTGAAACAAGAAGTAAACAATAAGTCAACTTCTGTGTTACTCACATTAAGTGTTGAGTCAAAACTGAAATTCTACTCTTTCACACTCAAACCCAATTTTTCTATATATTCTCTTGCAATAAATGACCTTTGACTTCCAGTATCCAATAAACATCTGCACTTCCTAAATAGTGTAATCTTTTCATGAAGATTTTAAATGTAAAATTTGAGCATTTGACAGGTTAGGATTGTTATACACATAAAGAATCCTTAAAAGTTATCCAATTCCACAAAATGGTAGGAGCTTAACACTTATTGAAGTTGTTGCCTCAGTTTTTATCTCTTATTTCAAATACAACTGAAGTGCCTCAGATTTTTATTTATTTATTATTATTTATGTTAAATTGCATCTCAGTGTATTTTTCTGTTATTTTCATCACGTTTTGTATATAACTGATGAGCTATCTCTTTTGATTAATTAATTACTAAATGAGTTACTCTTCTTTGAAAGTAATTCATATGCACATAGGTCAGCATTTTATGTGTTAAATTTATCTTTACATTTCATTATTTGTGATTTTAACACTTTCTTTTCATAAAATGTCATTCTGTCATCTTTTATATGGCATTCTAGTCATGGTACTTAATTCTCCTATTTAACGTACCAACTTCCAAACATGAGATATGCAGGATATTCTCACAGTGGCTGCCTTCTTCGCTATGGGTGTTCTGAACTCGTACACCTCAGTTCTTTGCACCAATATATGAAAAAAACATCACAATGTCAGTGCTCGTGATATAACATTCACTTTTATTTTTTAAACAGTTTTGTCCGTTTCATTATTAAAGAAATAGGCTTAAAACTTAATTATTTTAGATTTAAATGCAGTAATTACTTTCAATATTCACTTTGATTGCTTGATTATACTAGCTATCCATATATTTTGTTTTAGCCCAAAGGGAGCCTGTTAATTTTGCTTTGGAATTAAATTTGTAAATACCAACATTGTTTATTAATTACAACAATGATGCAAATATTCATAAAAATTAGTAGTTACAATTTACATCAGTTAGATACATTATTCAAAAGTAAAGGCATAAATTATTAAAAACTATATTCATTGCATTTAAATCGTTCAGTTTAAGTAATTGCATTTGTAATTTGGCCAGGTCAAGTGAAAGATAAAGGTCTTATATCTGTTCAGAATGGGTAACATTTATCAGGTAGTGTGACTGTTACATGCTCTGGTAACTGTACTTATTGGCTCAAAAAAATGGAAAAACGTTATTATGCATGTTTAAACATCAGAAGTTTATTAATCTATACTTGCTCCTAATGATGAGAGAATATGGCTATTTCTTCAGATGCAGTGAGCCTGTGCTTTTTAATTAACACAAGTTAGCTGCAAATACTTTAAATTTAGCTTGTTTGTTTTTAGAACTTAAGTTGCAAATCAGTTCCTCATTTATTGTAGGATGTTATTGTTTAAAATATCTTCAGAATGTTTTATAAAATATGGAATACCACAATTGTTTAAGATAAAATTAATTTCCAGCAGACCGCTATATTTAAAAAAAAAAAAAAATTGTTTTGGGTGAGTAGCTTTCAGATTGTGCATTCAGCCGACATGCTATATTTGAATTTAAGTGTGGCTTAAGATATAAATACATTGTCTACAGGAACATAATGTGTTGCATTAGTGTGAAACCTTGCATTTCATTTACAAATACCAAATTGTGTTAGATTTGCTGCTTTTAGTGCTTCTGTTTCATATCTTTTCTTGTGTATTTATTCATTTATATATTTTTTCAGAATTGATGGACAAGAATTTGGTGGTTGCATGTATCAGAAGGTCAATGATAAACTTGAATCAGGAATGACCTTGTCATGGACGGCAGGAACTAATGAAACTAGATTTGGTCTTGGTTGCATATATAAGTTAGATGAAGATTCATCTCTTAGGGTTAGTATAATAGTTACAAATTTTAAATCATATTTTTTACTTTATTACTAAAATAATAGCAAATGTATTACATAAGATCTTAATATATTGTTAAAATTAATACAGTCAAAAGTCGTTAATTCGGACACCCATAATTCGGAATGATCTATAATCCGGACCTCAAAACTAAAAACTTTCTGCGTATGCGCCGCGTTGACACATGCGCATAGGCGTTTACGCGTGTGCTGCGTAAGACCTTTTACGACTGCGCATATGAGTGTGCGCAAGTGCAGAATACGTTTTCGCGTGCGCGTTTTATGTATAATGGACGTATAAGCTAAAATTATCTAATTATCTATTTCAGTTAATGTTGATAATTGCGTTGTTCCTTAATTTTCGAATTGGATCCGGCTTATTATTTTTTGCAGACTGTAAGAGCAATTTTATAAAAGTAAGCTAAACTTTCGATTATATCAAATAGAATTTCCGATATATATTTGTTAATATGTAAAGGATCTAAAGCGAAAGTATGTTTTGAAATCCGAAATCTGTTTATCAATTTCACGCTGCTCGGCGGGGGGAACGCCGCGGCGGGCGCGTAATGAATTGGAAGTTGATCTGTCAGCACTATCCTTATCTTCAGCGCAGATGTTTTTATTTTATTTGGCTTATAATTCCTTACCAAATGTAGTATTTCATCTCAATATGCTCCGTCTTTGATATGATTTAAAACAAGTTCCTCGTCATTATAATTCGCTTCCGATAGCGAAGAAAAGAAAAGTGACAGAGGTTATTGAAAACGAAAAAATTTTGATTGACTAATTAGTCGGTGTTCTCGACACAGCAATTATAGGACTTGAACAGCGGAACTTTGTAACTGAACAAGAAATTATGTCTGTTTAATAGAATTAAAGAGAAAGTATTATCACATGAAACAAAGCAAAACTTAAACAACTTACATTGAAAGAAATGTTTAATAAAGTAAACAAATAAATATTAAGCTTTTTCTTTTTGCAAATTTTGATACCCTTTAGATCATAATTGTTCTTTATTTCATAAATTACAGTTTCATATTTTTAATTTTAGAATTTCTGCATGCCATCTTATGAGATTTAAACTGATGATCTATAATCCGGAATCGCCGAAGTCCCGACGAGTCCGGATTAACGACTTTTGACTGTATACAACTATAGTCTGAAGACATCATATACTATTTATAAAAAATTTTAAGTAGAAAATTTTATATATCTTTAATGCAATTTTGATTCTGAATTTTATTGTGAGACATATGCAATTTCTGTTATTTAAGTGTTTAATTTAATCAAATTAAAAATGTGAATGTGTTAAAGCAAGATTTTTGACATAACTTTTTTTAAGTATATAAAAAGCCAGGCCCTTAAAAGTGAGGTGTAATCCATTCTTTGTGTTTCGTTTCAATATGATGCGTGAATGTATTGTTCTTCCTTAGATGATACGGAAAAATATATTATCATAGAACTCTTAGTTCTCAACTTTTATAGTTAGAAGCAGGTATTATTATATGAACTCAATATATATCATAGCTTTTGTTCATTGTACAAACAGCTCATGAAAGCTAACCCACTTTCATGAGCTGTTTGTACGATGAACAAAAGCTATGATACAGTCAAAAGTCGTTAATCCAGACTCGTCGGGACTTCGGCGATTCCGGATTATCGATTTTTCCGGATTATAGATCATCAATTTAAATCTGGTAAGGTAACATGCAGAAATTACAAAATTAAAAATATGAAACCGTAATTTATGAAATAAAGAATAATTATGATCTAAAGGATATCAAAATTTACAAAAAGAAAAAGCTTAATATTTATTTGTTTACTTTATTAAACATTTCCTTCAATGTAAGTTGCTTCGTTTCATGTGATAATACTTTCTCTTTAATTCTATTAAACAGACATAATTTCTTGTTTAGTTACAAGTTCTGCTGTTCAAGTCCTATAATTGCTGTGTTGAGAATACCGAATTTGTCAATCGAAATCTTTTCGTTTTCAATAACCTCTGGGTCACTTTCTTCACTATCGGAAGCGAATTATAATGACGAGGAACTTGATTTAAATCATATCAAAGACAGAGTAGATCGAGATGAAATACTACACTTAGTACGGAATTATAAACCAAATAAAATAAAAACATTTGCCCTGAAGATAAGGATAGTGCTGACAGATCAACTTCCAATCCGCAGGGTGAAATTGATAAACAGATTTCGGATTTCAAAACATACTTTCGCTTTGTAGATACAAATTACATATTAGTAAATATATATCGGAAATTCTATTTGACATAATCTTTCTAATCTATCATAATCTAATAATGACGTTTCTGCCCCCCCCCATCCGCAGAGCAGCGTGAAATTGATAAACAGATTTTGGATTTCAAAACATACTTTCGCTTTGTAGTAAATATATATCGGAAATTCTATTTGACATAATCGAAAGTTCAAGCTTACTTTTATAAAATTGCTCTAACGGTCTGCAAAAATAATAAGCCGGATCCAATTCGAAGATTAAGGAACAACACAATCTGTAACATTAACTGAATTAGATAATTTTAGCTTAGCGTATTAACTCCGTTACAATTAAACGCGCATGCGCACAAACATATTCGCAGCCGTAAGGGTCTTACGCGCTCTCGTAAACGCCTGTGCGTATGCGTGAACGCGACGCATGCGCAGAAAGTTTGTAGCTTTGAGGTCCGGATTATGGGTGTCCGAATTAACGACTTTTGACTGTATATTATAAATTTGAATCTTTTACTCTTAGGGTGTTACCTTTAGTTTATGTATTTTTCTTGTGCAAATTGAATTTTATTTCACATTTCAAAAATTTATATTGAATTAGGCAATGGAAAAGCTTGTAGTGGAACATAATTTAATGTTTCTTTATAGTTATTAAGATTTCCCTAGTGGCAACATGATATAATGTTTTGAATAGTTATTAAGATTCACCATGTGGCAGCAATGAATCGAGCTAAAAACGTTGTTACTTGGAGTGTTCCTTGATGAACGTTGCGTAAGCTTTATTTCTTAAAAGTTTGTTATATTTTTATGTAAAAATAAATATACTGTTTCTTTTAAGACCAAAATAAGCATTTATTTCACTTATGAAATTCTCTGGCTGATCAGTTTCGAATACACTTATTCATCAAATCCACAAGCTTATACGAATTGCTGATTTTACAGTGAACCAAGGATAAGGGGCACCCAGACCTAGCTAATGAAAGCCATACACAGTTAAACACCCTAGCTCTTAGAGGTGATCTGAGGAGGCTGACCTCCTCCCCCGATCAACCTATGGAGATAGGAAAGGAAGGAGGGCCAACCTCGCACTACGAGTGAAACACTGCTCCGAGGCTTTAGTCTCCAGATGGGGTGCTTTTTGTTTACATTCAGAAGCTTCCTTGACAGCACTCTCATAGTATTTCATCGCACGACAGTTCCATACAAATTGAAAAACAGGACACTTTCGCATAAAAGAAACATTGTGTAATGGATAATAGCAATTTCTATAGTTTAGTGACATTTACGCAAAAATTTCATCTTGGTTATTTTTCAATAACTAACAATAGCGATTTTGATTATGAATTTGTTTTATAAAATTCTAAACTGAAAATAGATTTTAGCAAAAATGTTATGCTTCAAGAGTGAAAAATACCTTACGGTACCTTTAAAACTGTATATATCTTTTGATACGCTTGACAGATAGAGTATTTGGTACTTTTATTTTATGTTCCAAAGGCATAGTGAACGCACAGAAATTGAAAGATTTGCACATGCTGAAAATGAAAAATATGAAATATGTATGGGTATTTATGCATATGCTTGCAAAAAACATGTATATGCCTTTAACAAAATATGTGTTTATTTATAAATGTATCTGGACTGAAGGATTTATTCATTCATAAACTCCTACGAAAGTTACTTTGAAGAAATCTAATTATCAAATGTATCTAAATTTATAATGATTATAAATATTATCTAAATATATAATAACCTTAAAGCAGAAATTGAAATCCTGTTGATGTTGAAATGCATTTATAAAACTATTTAAGCAAGAATTGTTCGTACTGGAAAGCAATCTGTTAAAAGGTATTGTAAAGCAAATTCTATGAGATGTGTACTTAAGGAAGTAAAGATGAGTTTCAGAATATGTATTTATTGAAATTAAGGGTAAAAAGATAATTAAAAGAATTATTCCCTTACATTTTATACCTTACAGTTACAGTTTTTAAATAATATTTTTAAAAACAAATTATTCCCTTTCAGAAGTATTCTGAGAAAGTTAAGTACATGGAAATGAGGACCAATATTCACTATTAAAATAAAAGGCACACTAATTTGAAATGGACCAAATGAAGCATTAATTATAAATTGGCTTATATTTTTCGATTTAAAAGGTACTTCGTAAGCTAAAAAATCGTGTCTTTCAGAAAGTATTTTAGGAAGAAGCTGTATACATAGAAAAGAAATAATGCATAATTTTTATATTAATAATACAATAAACTTTGATTTTCATTTTTGTGATCCTTAACCATATAAAATTGAATTACCTTAAAAATGTTTTCTAATGTAATTAATGAAAATTTGTGAAAATATTTCATTCAGATTAAAGTGTTCTGAGCAAACTGTTCTGTGAAAAGTATAGCATTTAATTCCGTTCAGAATGAAATGTTTTTTAAAATGTATTCTTTTCACATACTTAGGACTCTGAAATATTGTAGAAAAAGGAAATATTATATGTATATTTATGATGTAATTGCAAAATATTTACATCCAACCGTGTCAAAAACCTATTTATCTTTATGGTAAATCACTGAATGTTTTGGTACTTCAAAGCAATGTATGGGGGAAATTGGTTAGGGCCTCTCCTTACTTCTTACCTCCATTTATCAACCCAGGGGGACAGAAAGTCAATCAGTCCAGGTAAATACAATGCTTAGTCCACAATCGTCAACAAAAAGAACGCAAGTCAAGGAATCTCTCCCCCAGTGTTGACCGGGGGTGCAATCTTCCCCGGATAACCTTGTAAATCTAACCACGTAGCATCGCCACAAACCAAGGGGCAGACAAGACAATACCACCTGCCGAGCCTCAGTGGTTCTAGTTACTGCGAAGATTAATTTTTCCCCCATAAGGTCAAGTTTGTCTGGATATTGACCTGGCGAGAACGCCAGGCTTGCTCCCATTCGACCCCTAGAGGAAGCAATTCTCTAGAGATTGAATGCAATGTTCCCTGATTTTATGGTTTAAGTGTGAAGAACATAATATTTAATATATAAAGGTAACACACAAAATGTTAAATCTGAAGGCTTTCAGGTTTTCTTATCTTTTATCCCCTATTATATATTTATCTTATTTTATTTTTAGGCTAAAGTAAACAACAGCAGCCAGATAGGTCTCTCTTTCACTCACAGACTTAGGAAAGGAATTCAACTGACCTTATCTGCATTGCTGGATGGCAAAAGTTTCAACCAAGGTGGACATAAGATTGGTCTTGGCTTGGAACTGGAAGGATAATCTAAACATTATGAAACATATATTGGAAACAGTATACAGATATTGGTGAAGTTAGATGGAGTGGCTCTATTTTTCTCATCCAAAGTCCTGTAGTTGCAGTTTCAGAATTGGGGAATGGGAATTTTGTTTACTGTGTAGCATCTAAACAAAAAATATATGTATAAAATTTTCAAATTTTTTGACATTATATATTTATGTCAAAATATTCTAACTATATTTCAGAAAAATAAATTCAATAAATGAGGTTAAGTTTTTTTGTTTATTATAGTGACTTTTTTAATACTTAAAAACGCCTCGGGGTAGAAAATAAACTTAAAGCTTGCATGTTATTAAATTTCATTTATATTTTAATAGCATCTGCACTGGAAACAAGTAAATATGAATTAATAAATACTTCTTACTAACATGTTATGTAGGTTTTATGTTAAAAATTTTGCATAAATTGCCATATATTGTCTTCCTTCAGATTTGAAAAGGAAGAAGATTATATAAAATTCAAATTTTGTCATCTGACCAGATCCATCGATTTCAGTCGGCTCAGTAGCAGCTGAGTAGTAAAGGCATGTGCTATCCCCCCCCAGCATGAAATAATCATAACTTGAAACATTTGCCCATTAGAAGTTGAAATGCAATGATTCAAAAATTTTATTCATATTCATTCAAATTTTTAACAATGTTTTCTAGAAAGGTCTGAAAAAAGTGATAAAAGAAAGAGAAATATTGTCATTGAGAAATATTAAATGAACAACTCGATATTCAAATGCATATTACACATAGGAGAATCAGTTTTTTTTTTTTTATTATTATTGTACTAAATACATTCAAAATGCACATTCATGCAGAAGATTTACACTATGTTCAAAAATAGCTTATGAAATTTCCAAATTATTAACTGCTAAGCATCACAAAATGCATTGATTTGAATAATGTTTTCACATTTTTAAGTATATCTAAAAAAATGGCAAATTAAACTTAACTTAAATTGTGATTTGTTTTCTCTCATTTTCTTCCAACTTTTTTTAATTTCAGCCCATATACAACAACATGTCAGTACAGCGAAGAAATTTTAAAATATTCACTAAAAATAATCTCATTTCATAAATGGACTAAATTTTTTTCTTCCTTGAATGAGCCAGAGTATTCTAATCACAAAAAATTTGGGGTTTCGGATTTCAGTGGAAATACTCATTCTGACTATTTTTTAGAAATATACATACAAACAGGCCAAAATACTCTTTATTGTAAAATGGATTTTTTTCTTGATGTCTCTGTACGCATATGTATCTCGCATAATTTAAAGAGAATTAGCCATAAAGCATTGAAATTTTGTTTATGAAATAACGTCTAATTATACTTTTCTCTTTTTTTATTGAAATCAATAATAAAAATGTTAATAGGATATACCCCCATTACCCGACCTTATTTTTGCAGTCGTTGATCATAGATATATACTTCCAGTTATGGAAGTGTTTTAAATGATGAAAATATTCATGTTTTGGTGTTTTTTTAATTAATTAATTTTGGTGAATAACGACATCTAACTTTGAATGCAGTCTTCTGATTCCTTTACACATATTTGCGAAAATTTTATATTCATTATGAAAAAATAAAAATACAAGACGTTTGATTGCCATGCAACAAAAATTGATTAGGAGTTTCAAAATTCGCAGTTTTTAAAGTCATTTTCATCTTACGTCGAGGGATTGGCTAATCAAATTAGAATAATTCAAGGAAATCAGTTTAAATGAAGTGCAGCAAAAAATGTGAATAATTTAATAGGCATGCAAGGAAGTCTTGTGTTGTGCACTAGATAGCTTCCTGACCTTATAATAAATATATATTTTATTGCCTTACATTTCAAGGTAACATTAATGTCTTTGCTGCCAAACCTTGTATGATGTGTTCGTTTGCACATGTCAAGATCTTATCTGCATTTTTATGCTGTTAAATTATATTTTATTGTGTTTTATTAATTATTATTTAAATATAGATATTACTTTTAGTATCAAATAAATTCACATGAATGTACTTATAGTTCCCATAAGAAATAATATTTGTGCTCTTCATAACAGCTACAAAATAAATCAAAATTCGATAAGCAAAACTCACCCATTCTGCACATTCATGCAAAATTTCTGCATATGTCATACATTATTTTCCATTAGTTTTACAAAAGCTAAACAAGAATTTAATCAGCTTATAACATTTCACAAGTGAATAAACAAAAGAAAAAAGGCTTTGCATTCTAAACAATTAGTTATTGTATCTATATTTTGAGAAATATGTGATCCATTTCCATACATCAGATGTACTATTTAGTCCCTCCCTGTACACCCATCACCTAAATATTGCATGCATTTGTATGGCAGTACTCATACTTGGTGATTTAGGTAGGTAGTTGTCTTGTAGCTGGCAAATAAGCTCAATTTGCCGACTATGAGTATTCTGGCAGATGGAGTGAAGAGGTTTAAATCTTTTCTGCACAACGTTTAATTTTGAAGTAATGGTAAGTGGCTGATCATTGTAAAATACTGTGCAAGAAATGAAATGCTCATGTTCTGAATTTTATAAGTGATCTTCAGCATATTTCAGGTGCGGTAATACGAGTTGCATTATACAAGATGATTCATAATTTCCTCTGGAGTTTTAGAAATTTATAAAGCAATAATTGTAATGAATTCAGCAAAATGTTTCGCAGAGTGCATAATGAAACCTTTTAAGTTTTGTACTTATAGTAGGTCATGTTATGTAACTAGATTTAACTGCTATTGGTCATTTATCTTTGCGTAACAAATTGTTGCAAATGTAGTATAGTCTAGAGATCCCGCAACAATTACTAATGGCATAGTTACATGAAGACGATAAGGACTTCATTTTTTAAGAGGGTGGGTCCTGCCATATTTTTATGAAAGCATATGCGCTTAGTTGAGGACTGAACTTTCTAGTTGTTGAATTGGGCATGCTTCCCAAATTGACTATTCTTCCATGGCCTTAACATAACACCATATGATTTTTTCGTGTAGTGTTACATAAAAAATGTTTTCATTCTCCTCTTTAGCTAATGATTTAGCATAACTGTATCAATGGATTTCGCATGCTGTTGTCGATGATCTTCATACCTAGGCAGGATTTTAATTTTGGTCTGATGTTTGCCGGGAAAACTCCTATTGAGCACATGAAAATTACTTTAAAAATGTCGAGTGATCCTTTATGTCCTAACTGATACCTTTTTAATATATTAGTTATAAAAATTGCATTCTAAACTTACAAAACTGGAGAAGAAATTATGAATCACTCTGTCTTTTATATAAATTTGGGGAAATAAAATATTTAGCTAATTTACATGTAGTAGTTGTATTATAGTTGTATGATTAAGAATATGAAATTTCAATTATAATCAAATCCCACAGTGATGGACACATATAAAATAAGGTTGGTTGTTGATTGATTTTAATTAAGGCAAAGCACAAGAGCTGCTCTCAGGCAGCATGGATCAAGAACTTTCTTAAGGAAACTGATTTATAATTATATTGCATATCGCAGAAAATACCATAATGCCCATGCAGCCAGTTCTTTCATTGGAATTCAAACTCGGGTTGAAGTGCCAGTGTTCAGTGCCTTTAGCCACTGGTGAGAAAAAAATCAATTTTATAAAAATTGCTGTATAAGAGATCTAACAAGGTAAAGTTGTAATTTTTTTCACTTTGCGAGATATTAAAACTCCTTATCATATATTATATAGATCCTTTTGTTGCCAGAGGAGCTCTACAAAACATGAACTCAATAAGATGTGGGTGAGTAACTTGATGTTTGAAATCATGATTTCACAGATACCACAGAGTCTGTATTCTTGGAACTAATTTGAAATGTTCATAATGTGTGGTGGAGAGTTTTCTTTTAAAAGATGTATATTTGTTAGCTACTGTATCTTGGTAAGTATGTGATATTAATTTGCTGTAAAGTGTGCTGTCCAAATAAATATTGTCTAAGCCACTCCAATTTCTAATCATCCACTACGTGAATCCCATTGAAAGGACGTCTTGTCTGAGCATCATATAAGAGCATTCCTGTTCACTTGTAATCTGATGCCAAATGCAAGTGCTTACAGTAATGAATATCTATGAGCAGCTGTCAATGTAACTGTGGAAGTCTTAATTTTCCACAGGGTGTACAATTAAGTGCTTAATAGTAGTCAACGTGTACAATCAATTTGAGGGTTGACTCAGGAGAATTCTTGAGAAGTACTGGCTAGGATCTGTACTTAGACAGTCTCAACCATGGGGGGTACATAATTTGACTTCACAGGACTGAGCCCTAATTCATTCTAAGGCTGGTTCAGGCTTGGCAGAGACTATACTGGTACTGCCGTGTCTGTTCCTTTGGCTGTTGTGGAGCTAGATCGGAGATCACCGATCTAGTCGACAGAGACTTAGCCCTCATAGTTCTAGGTGGCTGACAAGGCACCAAGACGAATTTCGATGCCGATGGAGTGGTGCTCGGAGGCAAAGATGTCACAGCGTTCAATTTTGTATTATGTATCGAGCGTTTTCTACCTTGTCCAAAGGTATGTATAAAGCCGGGCAGGGACTGTGGGGTCTGCGCCACTGTTGAAGGGGTCTCTGAAGCTTGGACACGTTTACCCCGATATGGCAGACCTTTAAGGGCATCCAGGACAGGGTCCCTGCTTTAGTGTTCTGTATGTTTAGATTGAAGAACTAACTACATGGCAACCCATTTCTGAACTAATATGATGGGCCATAGCCTTTTTCCAACATACTTTCTCAAAAACAAAAAAAAGTCGCAGACACATGTGTATGTGGAGAAGGGATGACCCCAACCATTATATATTTATTTAATTGTGCTGTTACAGAAGAAAATCCCATGAGATACTCAGCCACAAGTCTCCTGCCTTTCGAAAGGTTTTTAATTAAAACGACCAAGAGAAAGCATAAGCCAGATAATGCAAAATATTGGTAGAGATCTTTGCCTAATAGAATAACTGTGCCAACAAGAAGATCCCTACCAAAAGAATGCAAGCGATTGGTTATAACAGAACACAATCAGAAAATGACGATAAGTGAAGTCGATAGCATGTTACAAAGTGAACCGCAAAGATTCTCGTTTTGCCACCGACCTGGTATAGTGGTTGATGATGCTGACTGCCGTACTGATGCCCTGGAGAAGGCATGAATATTTGTAAGCGTATAGTGTCTGTGTGGCATGGGAGCACTCAAAATACAAGGCATGCCGAAAG